TTTACACAATTGATGTGTGTATGGATTGGGATAACAGTTGTATGAGCCCCTAATAAAATGTTTAAAAAAAAAAGAAAAAAAAGAAACCCTAGCTGGGCCATCCATTTATGACCGAGAAAGTAACATTTTGCATGCATTCCATGTAGAGCACCCACTGCAATTGAGTTGATTCCATCTCATAGTGACCCTATATAAGATGTTTGAGGAACAGATAGTCTCTGTCATCTCTATGGGAACAGATAGCCTCATCTTTCTCCTATGAAGCAGCTGGTGGATTTGAACCTCTGACCTTCAGTTAGGGGTCCAATGCTTGTCTGATAGCACCAATAAGGCTCAATAACTCATAAATACAATTTATATAATGTTCTGAAAAATTTTGATTTCAGGATTAGATTTCATAATTAAATATTTATTTTAATGTTGCATTTAACCCTTTCAGATAAAACAAAATAGGAACTTTCCTTTATTTCAAGTGGAATAAATTTGGGTTAATTCTGATTTTGTGAAGAGTGCTACTTCATGAGTAATCAGGCATCTGCTATATTCTTATAGTAGTGAAAATATTCCTATTATAAGTTTTGGCATTATATACTGATATTTTATTTCTACTTTGTATTTTAAAATATACTGAAAAATGTATTTGTGATAGATCATAGGTATTTGTATCATAGCATTCATTTGTATTTTCTTCTGTGTTTTAAGTAGAATTGTTTAAATCCTTAGAAAGGTATTCTGTTTTGATATTGCCTTTTCCCCATATAATTCTTGATATCGTGTTAATTTTTAAAATATGACTTGCAGAGGAATTTAACAAAGAAACTGGGCAGGCCCTTATTGGAATAGAAACATTACCACCAGACTTAAGAGACTTTGTTGAGGAAGATAACCAAAGATTTGAAAAAGAATTAGAAGAATGGGATGCACAACTTGCCCAGAAAGCACTGCAGGACAAGCTCTTAGCGTCGCAGAAGCTGAGGGAGTCGGAGTCTTCTGTGACGACAGGTTAGTCCACTTTTATTAAACTATGTTGAATTATCTGGTTTTTCTTGGTGTTTTATTATGTGAGCATAAGTCCCCCCAGTATTTGCTACTAGGATTCCAGTTTGTAATGCCTGGGTTTATTCCAAACTAGACCTGTTTAAAACTGTCTCTGGGATCAGGGGATGTCTACAGGGAAGTTATCTCAGCAATATACTTATCTTAGTCAGATCAAAATAGTGGCTTCTGAGATCTGCTGGGCTGCTTCAATCTCAGGCAAAATGTTTAGCAATTGTTCTTTGCAGATTCCAAAAGGTTCCTCTTGAGTGATTACCTTGGAGGGCACAGGATGATCATGGGGGTCATGTTGAAAATTTAAGAAAAGTGAAATAGCTTGGTGAAGAAAAGACCAGGAAAGTTGCACTGAGGGGTCCCCCCCCGCCCCGCCGCCCATCACACAACACACCTGTTTATTCTTAATTACAGAAAGAATTACTTAATTATAAGAACTCATTTGGAAACCTTACCCAATCCTTCCTATAGGTCTGGTGTTGCCCCTTCATACTTTTTTTTTGTTCCCACAACTCAAAGAACATTGAAAAGGAACACAATATGAGTCCTTAAGGATGGTAAAACTGCGGTTATGATGTTTAAATCAGAGTACAGAATTCTTCTGGGGTTAGAGAGATGAAAACTCTCAACATACCTAAAAACTTACTGAAAATTTTCTTAGTTGAGTGTAGTATTAAATTAAAAGTGATGCGGAGGTGGGTAGGGTGCCAGCCCCACCCGCTGCTTGAACTCACTGGTTCAGTAATACTACTTCTGGGTTCAGTAATGCACAATTGTATGGTTGAGATATATAAATATTATATTAAAGTCATCGAGAGCATGAGAGATAATACAGTAATACAGTCAGACATATTACATGGTAGCATTGCTCACCTCCGCCCCGCTTGGTGGTCCTCGTGGGGGAACCCGGCTGCCAGAGCAGGAGCCGCCTCCCTCGCGGGAGCTGCCCTCTTGTCCACCGCCCTCATGGGAGCAGCCCTCACGGGAAGCAACCCTCCTTCCTTAGCCGCCCTCTGCCAGCCACCTTTGGCCAACCACCTTATTTATTGCTAACCATGCATCATATTACTTTAGGGGGATCTGATTACAGAGTCATACATCACAGAAAGGGGCAATACAATTCATTCTAGAACAAGTTTGATCACTCTGGTGTCTCATATAATAAAACAGACAACTACTATTCTGGGAGGCATGCAAGTCCCCTGATAGCAGACAATAACCTAAGTCACAGGGAGGGGTAGCAACATAGGCAATACAATCAATAGGAGGGGGATGACCTAGGGGTGTGCCTGTATTTGTTATGGGATAAACAGTGGTGTCTGCTTGATCTAGATAGCTGATACTAACCTTGGTCATCCTTGGGCGGGTTTGCCCTCTCTGGTATCTCCTGCAAGTAGACAGACCACCACTATCCTTATCAGAAGGGAGTGGGTCTTATTTAGGGTGAGTCAGACTAATAGTCTAGCCACTATAGATGGCTGGTGTTAAGGAGAATAACCTCTCACCTATTTTCGCTGCCTAATGAACAGTTATTCTCAAGCTGAGTCTGACATATATTTTGGGGAGACAACTTAAGAGAAATCCTTCTGTTCCTCACAGTTGAGAAGTGTGTAGACCTCAGTGTCCAAAATAAAAGGTTGACATTTGGGGAGTGGTGTGTTTTCAAAAAGTTTCTATGGTTTTATAGCAGTGCTTTTGGATTTATGCTCATAAAAAGATTTCTCACTGGGAAAAAAAACCCCAACACTTAAAAACTATTTTAAGAATGGAGAAGCAGTAATTATCATCTGGAATTCTACCAATTATCGATAGCCATCGTGACAGTTTAACCCTTTTGCCAGAAGCTACGTACGCATGCGTGCTTTGATCAAGACAAATTAGTGGAGTCCACCTATCCTACCCTGGCTTGTCTTGACCAGAAGCAGAAGCTGCCATAGGACAACACAAAATCCACTGTGCCTTTTGACTCTTTCAAAAGTCTTAAAATTAAAAACAAATAAACCAAAACTTGAAATATGATACATTTCAAGAAAATACATAGAAATATAAATAATTAATCAAATTAATAAAATATTCTGATCATTAGTGATAGAAACAGTAATGTATTCAGAGCAAATACTATTGAAAATGAATAATATGTGTTGTAGCAGAATTAAAAGTAAAATACATTTGACCTTTTTATTTTCCACTAGAACACTTTTCATTGCCACTGCCACTAAATTAAGAATATATTTTAAAGGTTATATATTTCTGGCTACAGAAGAAGTTCTGTTTCCTTAATTTTTATGAGCTAAATTAAACTTGGATATTTTCCTCAAAAGTGTTGATGTCACTTCAAACAACAAAGCAAAACAAGCAAAAAAAGAAAAAAAGAAACCCTTAACGCTGAGTAGATCTGTTTTAATAACCTTGTTATAATGCCTTCACTGTGTTGTTTTTAAGAAATATTTCAGATTTTGTTGTTTTATTTAAGCTTGTATAGTGATTCTCAAGCAGCATTCTTTCAGTGGGTTTCGACATCATCAAGAGAAGGCGAGGAAGCGTTGTTTCTGCAATAGAAGATTTGTGGTACCACAATAGAATACTGCTGAGTGATGCAGGCATGTGTAGATTGATTATTCCAGAGTTGCATTTTCTTTTCAGATAGCTTGAATACTTGAGTCTGTTATTGATGGTAAGAAGCAAATGATTCAGATTTTTAAAAATATGTCAGCAAACTTACCAATCTTTTCATACTTAAGAGTTATACAGGTGTTTTATTGGCATTTTACTGGAGTATTCTAAACCACCATTGTCATCTCTGGTGAGCTCTACCATTTCCTAGGACCACATTTTCTACCTATATACCAAGGGGCCCACCATATAAAACAGATGGGACTGTCTGAGTTAACAAAAAAGTTTGATTCCAATGACTGTTCCCCCAGGTGTGGAAATGAAATGGCTCAGTTGGCATCAAGAGATTTCTGAGATCCTCCATAGTTTATTGTTAGCTGCCGGCAAGTCAATTTGCAACTCTGAGCAAGCCCACATGACCGGAGAGAAATGTCTGCTAGTGTTTCCGAAGCTGTGAGCTGTATGAAAAGCACTCCCATACACTTACTGCCTGTTCGCTGAGCAGTCAGATGCTGAGATGTTGCACCGTCAGGGCTCATTCACCACAGTAGTTGTACTACAAAGGGACTTCAAAAGGCTCATGGAAAATTGAAATTTAAAAATTATGGATATTTTTAATGAACATTTTAGGCCCCCTCATGATGTTTTCTTTTATTGTTTTTTTCCTCCCCACCAATTCCATTTACTTATAATTTTATCCATTGTCTTAGAGGGAGATCCTTCTTCCCAAACCATTCCCACAGCTCCTTCAAGATGACACTCCTAAGGTTTTCTTCCCTGAACTTTCACGTACTCCATTTGCATTTGGCTTTCTCATGCTACTGTTAATGGGAGGAAGATATTATATAATTAGTGTAAATAGTGGTACTGAGACATAGGTCAGTCCTCCATTCATAGGGTTTTTTTTGATTCATCCATATTTTGTGGTATCAAACTATTCAATTCTATGGAGTCTTCTCTTTTCCCTGTCTGTTTCTCATAAATTCTATAAACTATTTGTTCCTACTAATTCAAACTGATAATATATTCCCTATGAGTATTTCTATATGATAAAGATTTGTCAACCTTTCCCAGCCTTTTAATTTTATCTTGTCTCTTCTTGACCAATATCTTTTACTTCTGTCATGTTTTGATTGTAAACGTTAAATAATTTCAGTGTTTTGAAATTAATACTAAAAATAAATAGTATGTAGATATTTTATATATGAATTTCTATTGCCTTGGTAGCATATTGGGTTGGGACACATTGGGCTGGGATGTACAAGATCCACATTTCAAAACCACCAGCCTCCCCATGGGAGAAACATTAGGCTTTCTACTTCTATAAAGAGTTATAGTCTTGGAAACCCACAGGGCAGTAGTTTTATCCGATCTTAAAAGGGTCCCTATGAGTCAGCATGCACTCCCTGGCAGTATTTTTGAGTATTTAAAATGGGCATCCTTATACAGACACACTTCTGAAAGGAATCAGAATATTTAAAGACAAAAAAAGAAAATGCTTCATTCACATATCACTATTATGTTAATGATCCTTTTAGACTAGGTTTACTGTCCTTTGTTTATTGATATATGCTTTTTGTTTGATTAGTAGAAATAGAATTTATAAGGTATAAATGTAGGATGAATTTTGCTCTAAAGATTTTTATTTCTAACACTATATCATTGTTCATGTTAAGAAACTCGTCCTCTGTTGCAGGGGATTTAACAGATCACAACTGAAGAAGAGAAATGGCTACTGTTTATGGAATAATTTTATCATTGGTAGAAAATTTTATTTCAGTGCCCTCAGAATTTTCCCATTTCTTTTGCATTTTCAAAATAAGCAATTTGTCTAACTTGTTATAATACTTTTAGCATCTCAGAGAGAACTTGTATATAAATTTCTGGGGTGTTATGATCAGGGAAAAGTATAAAAAACAGAGGGAAACCTTGGCCTTAAAATCCATTAGAGTGATTTATCTTACCTTCTTGCAAATCTTCCTAATAAAGCCATAAGGCCAAAGCTGTTAAACTCCAATTTCTTCTGAGTAGTATACCAAATAAGAATATTATATTTATCAAATTAGTATTTTCCCCTATTTTGCTGACATGTGATCAAGAAATCTGGGTGCCATTCATAGAACCATTTCTTGTCTCCTGAAAGTAAAATAAGTATTAAGTAGTGGGAAATTATTAATTGGGCCATCTTGTGATATCTTCCTAGATTTTCTTTTACAAAGAAAACCTTACCTGGACATTTTTGTTTGACTCTCTAAATAGTAGATTTTTACTAAGGATTTGCCGTTCAAAATTACCCAGGAGAATTTTTCCTGAGTACAAGGGGTGTAACTCCATCTAAG